AATACTTGTTCAATAAGGATATTTCTTTTAATTTTGATGTGGAATGTATGTAGGCTTTTGAATTGTTAAAACAGAAATTAATTTCAGCCCCTGTTCATTTTAGGCCTCAAACCACATCTGCGTGGAGAGGTAATGTCACTTTAACCTTCAGATCTACCTCAAGCAATAGCTCTTGCCAAGTTACAAGATGACAAAACCATATATGTTTTCACCTCCTCTAATCATTTACTCAACCCTCCACTCCTAAACCTCTTCCCCCTCTTTTACCAACACCAACAACCAAACTTCCCGTTAAAGTCTCACCGAAGCCAAAATACAGGCTCATAGGGACAAAAACCTGTGCTTCAACTGCGATGAGAGGTATTCCAGAGGGCATCAATGTAAATCGTAGTTTTTGTTGCTTACCACTTTCGATACTGATGATCCAATCCCTGATCTCCTACTTGTGGATTTCGATCCAGTGGAACCCTCTGAACCAGAAGCTGGTCTAATCAGTCTTTATGCCTTTTTGGGTCACTGGACCCTATGGACTTTCAGGGTTACAGGGGCTATAAACGGGTACAAGGTCCAAATCTTGGTGGATAGTGGGGCAACTATTAGAAAAGTAGGATGAGATCAAGAAGGGGTAAATTGATCTTTGAAAGTTTTTCCCACATTTAAGAATACAGATTATCTATTTCAAAGATTATGAATTCTGATCAAGTTTTGAATCAAGAAAAACAAACAGTTCTATGTAAAGCACAAACAGAATAAAAGAGAAAGGTTTAGAGAAAGACACACAAGATTTATACTAGTTCACCCAAACCACAGGGCTACATCCAGTTCTCAACCAAATTCTATTTGAGTTCTATTAGATTGATTATGTTTCTGATTACAAGCCCAAATCACAAAACATCCAATCCACACCAAGAACCAAATTCCAATTTTTGCACCAAACCTTGACCAAGAACCAAGTTCTAGTTCTTGAACCAACCTGCAGCCAAATTCCAGCTACAGAACCAGTGCCTAACACTTCCAGACACCCACAATACAAGTAAAGAAATGAAAAGAAACAAAGAGAAGAACTAGAACAATCAAATCCGGATTATGCAGCTCTTGCAGAATGAGTTTCTTCTCATATAAGAAAGTAAAAATGCCTCAAGAAAGAACTTTGAAAGACTTTACAAAAGTGGCGCGCTTCTTGCTTGAAAAACTTCTCTAATGATTGCTTGATTGATTACTCAAATATGTACTTTTAAAAAGCTGAAACAATTCTGTGTCTATAGAGTTATTTTTCAATTATTGGTTTAATTAATCGGTTAAAACTTTCTTTAAATCTATTATTAAATCTTGATTAATCAATTAATTCTTCTTTTAATCAGTTAAAATATGTTTAATGATTTTCTAGATTTATTTTAACTGATGCGACGATATTTTAATTGATTAAAACAGTTAAACAAAAATTCTCTAAGTTGTTTTAATTGATTAATTCACGTTTTAATCGATTATAATTCTGCCAAATATTTTCTTAAAACTTCATAAGTGATTTTTAACTGATGAAAGTCTGCTTTAATCGATTAAAACATTTGACAAAAATTTCCCTAAGTTGTTTTAATCGATTAATTCAATGTTATATCGATTAAAATTCTGGCAGAATATTTTACAGAACTTCTCACGTGATTTTAATTGATTAAAATGAAGTTATATCAATTAAAATGCTGACAGAATACTTTTCAAAACATTTCAAGTGATTTTAATTGATTAAAATACTGACAGAACATTTTTTCATACTTCTCAAGTGATTTTAATCGATTAATTCGAAATTATATAAGTTAAAATACTGGCAGAAGGTTTTCAAATACTTCTTTAATGAAAATAATCGATTAATTCGAATGTGCATTGATGAAAACAACCCCAGTGTATGTTTTAAATGGTTTTAATCGATTATTTCGAAAATATATCAGTTAAAAACTCTATCATGAATGTTTCTAGCTCATTTTGATCGAATAACCTTAAAGTGTTTTAGTTAAATCTAATCCTTAAGATCATATTAATCCATTAATTCAGTTTTTAACAGATTAAAACGTTTAGAGGCATTTTCACATTCTTTCAAAATGAATAATCCTCATGTAGCAGAGAGATAGGAATGATTATACCTATTAATATTGATGCTGACTCACTAATCACTCTACCCTTTAATCCAAGTAGCCTTTGACTTCATCAAATAATTAAGATCTTCAATCTATCACAAGGTTCAATAAGATCTTCATCACTTTCAGTCTCCCCCTGTTTGATGAAGACAAATACCTCTTTTGAATTTCTTTGAAATATTTTGATCTGCAAAGGAAATCACTTGGATATACAGATTAGTGAATTATTCAATAAATTTCTCCCCCTTTGACTTCATCAAAAATAGGTATAAAACAGATGCAAAAATGTAGATTTCACAACATATGTAGGCAGTAAACCAAAGAAAGATTAAATTTATTATTCTTTCAAGAACAGGTAAAGTTAATTCAAACTTATCTTTCTTAACACGTTTACTGGTGAGCACAATACGTGTAAAGATAAGAGAATCTTGTTTTAGTAGCATGCACAAAAACATCCATTAACTAAAGCCTTTACTTTAAATTTTAGAATAATAATCGATTAAAATCATAGCAGTAATCGATTAAATTTGAACTTTTTAATGATTTTAATTGATACAAATTATGTTAAAATCGATTAAAACAGGAATAACAGAAGTATATAAAAAATATGAGAACTTTTAATCGATTAAATCGAGAATTAATCGATTAAATTGGTACAAATAGACTCATTGTAAATGAAATTAATCGATTAAAGCTATTTTATATTAATTAAAACATTCAGAATATATGAATTTATGTAATGTTTGATGCATTTAGAATCCCTAATTCAGTTTTGATTTTATAAAAACGATCTCTAGCCGAGAGGTTTTGTGAAAATGTCAATTAATTGTTTTTTGGTTTCAATAAAAAATATTTCACAATCCCCTTTTGAAACATGATCTCTAATGAAATGATGTCTAATTTCAATATGTTTTATTCTAGAATGCTATATTGGATTCTTTGTTAATATGATAACACTAGTATTATCACATAGAAGAGGAATTTTATTTAAAATCAAACCATAGTCCTCAAGTTGTTGTTTGAGCCATAAAGATTGAGCACAACAACTTCCAGCAGCAATGTACAATGCCTCAGCTGTGGAAAGAGAAATGCATGATTGCTTTTTGCTATGCCATGAAACTAGACTTCTTTTAAGGAGATGACAGGTGCCACTTCTGCTTTTTTTGTCAAGCTTACATCCTGTAAAGTCTGAGTCAGAATAACCAATTAGATTTAGCTTAGACTCATCAGGATATCACAACCCAACATTCAATGTTCCTTTGTGATATTTGAGAATTCTCTTTACAGAAGTGAAATGAGATTCTTTTGTTGCAGACTGAAACTTGACACACATACAAATACTAAATATAATGTCAGGTTGCCATAAGGTATAATAAGGATAGTGTAGGTAATATTATTATAATTATTATTATATTTGTAAATTATTTAGTATACATTAATTTTATTTTATAAAAATATAAATTATAATATATATGTTAATTGAAAATATATGATCAACATATTTTAATGATTAAAATATACAAAGTAGATGGTTAATATTTACATAATATATTTCCAATTAACATTTTAAATATATTTATATTTATCAAATTATTAATTCATCTATCACTTTACCAATCAATATATATATATATATATATATATATATATATATATATATATATATATATGAGAAAAATATAAATAGAATATATATTTTTAATTAAAGGAAAAATAAAAATAGAAAAACAATCACCCAAACACAATTTAAAGTTATTTTTGTCATTAATGATAGATTTCTTAATTATTTTGTTCTCTCCTCCTTCTCAAGAAGTTTCTGCTTGTTATAAATAACAAAACAAAAGCGAAGGACAAAACAAGATCAAGAAAAGAATTTTATCTCCTCCCGTTTCAGATTCAATCAATCGTGTAAAAACTAACAACAAAATTAAGAGAATTGTATAGTTTCGATAGAATTTTAGATACTGATAGCACAGTGAATTGATAAAAAGTAATTTCTGAAAGAAAGAATTTTATTTTGTTCAATAAGATCTTATGAGATAATTCATTGATAAAGACTTCATTTTTAACTTAGTGTTTTACTGTTTGGAACCCAAAATATGAGATACTATTGTATCATTTAAGACTTCAAACTTATTTTGAAAAAAAGTTAAAAATATTTTGTAAATGAGGTTCAATATCACCTTTTATGACTCTACCCATTGATTAATCTTTTTCAATGAAATACATCATAGCAAGATATCTTTTATAACTGAAACTCGATGTTAAAAACTTAAAGTTGTTAAGTAGGATTAAAAAAGAAAATAAACAAATTTTATATATGATTATGATTATTTTTACCATGAATTTAAATTTAGATAGGTTAAATATTAAATTTTAACACGAATTTTCATTCATAAGAAAAAAAAAACTTGACAACGATGTTCCATATTTTAACTCTTAATAGTACAAATGTTTAAGAGTATGCTAAATCATTCTTAAGAAATGTAACACTAGAGAAAGGTGTATAGTGATAATGGATGTCATCAATGCACATGTTATAAAAGAATAAGTCACTCTTAAGATAAATAAAAAATTAAGGGCAAAACAAGATGATTTTTTTTATCTAGAAAAATATAAAAAATTGGTTTAAAAAATTAATCAAATAGTTATTGATATTACTTGTAATTCATTCTTGTGTGAGAGTATAATGTATGCAAGTTGATTATCACTTCGTTTAAAAAACATTTGTCTAAAAAAAATTGTACTATTTATCATATTCAATGATCCATTTACTAAAAATATTTTGATACGAACCCTGACATATAGGGTTGAGTAGAAGCATGGTGGACAAAAGCCATGGAATCGTGAAGGCACACATAAAATGGCGGGCTAGCAGCACAGCACAGGTGGTGCTGTTAAGAGGAAATCAGATAAGAGACAACATTTGGCCAAAGGATGTAAGAGGCGTCTGAAAAATAAAATATCGGCGATTGGTTTCTTCATTTCTTGGTGAAGACGCGCGGTGCTGTGCAGTGCTGTCTCTTTCAAATCGCTGATTCTACAGTCGATACAGTCGAGGTTACAAGAAATGACAGAAATCTTGCATGGCATTTCCTAGTAATTACCATGTTTGAAACTTTGAAAAAATAACAGCTCAGAAGAAGAGTGAAACGGTACTTCGGACCAAGCACATAAAACCCAACCACATTTAATGAATAAAACAAATGTTTCTTCAGAACAAATTATATATATTAAGCAACTCATACATTTTAGTTTGATTTTATATATTGTTAACATATTATTATATATGGTTAACTACAATATTAAACAATATCTTTTATTTATTTTATTTATTTTTAATTACTTTTTTAGTTATATCTCTATTATAAATAGATTATCTATGTATGGTTTATATACAAGAGAGATTAATTTCAAATCATATTTCTTCTATATTTAATATGATATTTAGAGTTTAAATTATTTTGAAAATTTTTCATCATTATCCACTGTTAAAGTTGTCACCGCCTGCTAGTTAAACTAATGGTTAAACTAATATTTTATGATAGAAAAGAGTTATCTTAATTACTAGATAAATATTATTTTGTAGTGTGAAAGACTTGCGCACACTGTGAAGAAGTTTCAATTTCAATCTACAATAAATGCTCTATTATAACTTTTCATAATTGATTATTTCAATACAACTAAATTTGTAATTTGGAGGTGTAATAAATACTCTATTTGAAAGAAAAAATTGAATATAACTTTTTATACCTAAAAAATTGTTTATAATATTATAGTCTTTACTGATATCAAAATTTATTTATATCAAAATAGGTTAATGTTCGATCCAAAAATCTCCTACAACACTGTAAAATTTATAGAACATTTCAATATTTTTTTGGGTATTATTTTAGTCATAATAAATAAGATACCATTTTTTATCTTAATTCTAATAAATATATTATTTTTATTTGAAACTTTAATAATACAATATTATTTATAATATAGTATTAATTCATAGCTTATGATGGTCTTATTATTATTATGTGGTGAATTTTATTATCCTCTTATTATTATTTTCTCAATTTTATATAAGAGATGATATTATTTATTATGTCATGATAATATTATTACCTGTTATATTTACCACAAATAGTTAATAATAAAAAAATAAAAAATTAAAAAACATGAGACCCAAAATAATAAAATTAAAACTAACATCAAACGTCCTAATGAGAATAAGAAATTAATTATCCCAATAAAAAATAGCAACATGAATTTAATTCAATGGTCATGCAGCTGCTACGTGAAACTCCTCACTGTGTTCAACCTGTTACTGTGATTTCCATTCTTACACAAGTGGAGATCCTTAAACTATCCTTTGGACGGCGTCCCTATTGACCGCTGGAGGATCCGCCTGCCAGATTCCACACGACCAGACCTAGCCCCTATGGTGCCCAAGAGCATTCGTGACGGGGAAAACGATAATTAAGTCAGAAGTGCAGTCATCTATCTTCAATAACACATGTGCAGTCAATTGTAGGGCTTAGGTTGTTGTTAAATTGGTGTCAGACGGAAAATAATGTAGTGTTATTTTGTTAGATTATTACGTACTTGTGTGTCATTGAGTCTCAAGTCAACAAGTAACAGAAAGTAAAAAATCAGAGGGAAGTTTATCATAATGCCACGTTTGTATGATCCATTAGGTTATCACAATCTCAACATTTTATCGAAAAAATAAATTCTTTCTTCCGATATCACGTTTTGTCGGTTGATTATGCCACCAGAATCTGAACTTCTACTGAACGTATAAAATTCTTTTATTTTCATTTACTTCATTGTTAGTTTTTAATCCGTAGTTGATAGGCCGAGTAGAACCTGAAATTCGAGAATATAAAATTCATCTGTTGGTCTCGTCTTGTGTTTTTTGTTTTACTTAGAATCAAGTGTCATGCAAAAAAATTAAAATTTTAAAAATAACTTTAAATTGTGTTTGTGTTATTGTTTTTTTTAATTAAAAATATTCATTTTATTTATATTTTTGGATTTTATTTAATTTCATTCACGTGTTTACAAAATGTATGGATGTTAATCTTATGATAAAAAAATTTATTGGTAATATTATGTAAGGTGATAGATGAATTAATAATTTATAAATATAAACATATTTAAAAATGCTAATTGGTATTATATTATGTAAATATTAACCCATAATAATTAAAATATGTTGATCATATATTTTTAATTAACCTTCTTTTATATTTATGTTTATATTTATATTTTCATAAAATAAAATTAATGTATACTAAATGATCTATAAATATAATAATAATAATATTACTGTACTAATATATATCATTTTGTATTTTATTATTGGTAAGTAAATATATATTTAATTTTTGTATTCATTTATATTTAGTCGGTAGTAATAAATGCACTTGAATTGAATTAATAGGAAGAATACACTTTAATCTATGAAAATTTGAATATAAAAATTGGAAGAATACACTTTAATTTAATTTCTAAAGGTTAAAGTGTTTTTTTACATCAACAAATGTAATGTCAAAATTTTTGGCTATTTTTTTGGTCTGATCAAATTTATACCTCTCCCTTTTTATCTGTATCTCTATTTTTGAGATCCTTGAGACTTTTGAGGGAGCGGATGAACTTTCATCACCTAAAACATTTTTTTCATGATCCAATTGTTGATATAAATTTTTAAGATATCTTTTTTGTGATTCAAGCCTTTCCACAATCACTCTGCATTCGTGTCCACGCGAATCAAAATTCTCAATAACTCGATTCACTTCTGCTTCAACATTTAACAATGGAGGAAGAGGATGATAAACTTCAGTATTGTCACCACCGTTGATTGTCTTTTCCTTCTTATCGTTGTCATTGTAATGATCTAAACATAAGATTATAAACAGTATAAGTATAATACACCATACAAGATATGCATGTAACCAAATGGTAAAAATGTAGAAAGTACAACTAATAGGTAATGATATTTACCAGCAGCAGAATGAGCCATATCCTCCTTCCAGCTGTCTTCAACATTTGTTCCACAGTAGAGCTGATGCAAACCATCAAATTATTCATAAGCTCTCAGTGCACAAGAGAGAACAAACAAGATAGTTTCTATTTTTATTACCAAATATTAATTTTTTTGCAATTTTTTATGTGAAAAATTATTTAAATTTGTAGAAAATTTATTTATTATAATTTTTGTAAAAAAATTGCAAAAGTATTCCTTGAAAATTTCTAGTAGTGTTTGAGACGGCCGTATCAATTCGAGCTAGCAGCTCATTTGCAACCTGTCTCCCTGAACCCCGCACCAGAAAAGCACCAAGATTCAAAATTTTCTTCAAAATTTTTTGATCCAAATTTGTAGTTTTACATGTTTGAAGAAGATTATAAACATGGGATATCATGTCAGTTCTATCACTACAGCGTCTGCAGTGGTATTCACAGTCTAACCCTATGTTTCCTCCAACTTTGCCATCCAAGAAAGATAGGAGGGAACATTCAATGTGACAAAGATGGCCACATATTCCTTGTCAAGGATTCAGTTGACACTTGACATAATTATAGCCACCATAATCTGGACAGAGAGTTTGGCCACAAAGAATGCAACAACAATGGCGGCAAAACTAAGGTTGCGCGCAACATAAGGGTGGTGAATAGTTTTCTACTTCTAAACCATCATACTGGGCACTTGTCGTTATTGGATATACACTTTACCTCGTTTTCACCGTTGAAGTTGTATGGTTCTTGTGCTATCTGAAGGAGAGGTATAGCAGTAGGTAATGGCAATGATTCATGTGGTATCTGACCAAGAGGTATAGCAGTAGGTAATGGCAATGCTTCATGTGGTATCTGACCAAGAGGTATAGCAGGTATAGCCACTTCATTGACTGTGAAACACAACACAACACCATAAATAGTTTATTCAATCTGATATCATTTTAATGAGCAAAACAAAGGATCATTGTAACACAAAGAATTAAAAGAGCGAAATAAGTGATAGGAGAAAAGAGACGGTAACCTGATGCAGGTGGTAAAGCCGGAATTTTCCAGTAGAAAGTGGAGAAAACGGCTTCAGGATCCGTGGCAGGAAAAAATGTTCTGATGTAGTTTTTAACAGCAACCTTGCTCGCAAAGATGTATTTCTTGCGAGTCTTGCTCGAGCACGGTGCTGACTCTGAGGCGTTCTTCTCCTCCTTCCACGCGCGGAGTAGTCGATCCGGCAGATACAGATATCGATCCTGAAAGTACATACCGTTCCGGACAATTCTCCGTCCAGTTCTCCATCTCCAAATATCTCCCCTCTCCGGCCAGTTTTCCGGTGCGTATGGATACCCTTCACCATACACTTCCGGTGGCACTGGCGGTAAATGAGGAATATCTCTACGCTCCATCTCAATATGCTCACTGGATTGGATTACTACCGTTCTTAGATATGAACTTTGAACTTTGATATGAACTTGTATATATGAACCTGATATATAGGGCTTGCGTAGAAGCATGGTGAACAAAAGCAATGGAATCGTGAAGGCACACATAAAACGGCGGGCTAGCAGTGCATAGCATAGGTGCTGTCAGGAGGAAAGACCACATTTAGCCAAAGGATGTAAGAGGCGTCTGAAAATTAAAAGATCGGCGATTGGTTTCTTCATTTGTTGGTGAAGACGCGCGGTGCTGTGAGTGCTGTCTCTTTCAAACCGCTGATTCTACAGTCGATACAGTCGAGGTTACAAGAAATGACAGAAATCTTGCATGGCATTTCCTAGTAATTACCATGTTTGAAACTTTGAAAAAATAACAGCTCAGAAGAAGAGTGAAACGGTACTTCGGACCAAGCACATAAAACCCAACAACATTTAATGAATAAAACAAATGTTTCTTCAAAACCATCACTTATGTAATTTTAACTACACATGGATATAACCACAGAACAACAATCATCATTATATATTAAGCAACTCATACACATGCACATGAATTATAGATCATCACATTCACATACATATATTATATGTGAAATAAAATATTAATAAGTTTCTGCATAAGTTTAAACTAACTTATAAGTTAATTTGTAAAAGCTTTCATATACAGTGTTGTTAAGATTTTATTTTAAACCTCTCTATAAATTAATTTTAGCTTATATATCAAATTTTATTTTATTTATTTATTTATTTTAATTTTCTTCTTTTACAAGTACTTCTGGAGAAACTTATCCAAACAACAAAAAGGATTTATTAATATATAATCCCGAAGTAATACTATTATGAAATTGTATAAATGATTTATTAAGTATTTAATATACATCAATTTAATTCCTGAATGAATACATTTCTTATCATTTGAAAGAGGGACCAATTTGATAGATTTTTCAATACTGAAAAAACTACTTGACTTTATTTTCAACATTAAAAAGGATCACTTACCTACTTTTTTATTTGGACATTATTTATGAAAAAAAAAATTAAAGATAGAATTGAAAAATATGAAATTATAGATGCAGGTCCATTACTCTATTCATAAATGCTTTTATCATAAGAAATGGTTAAAATGTTAAGTTTTTTTCTTTCTTTTTTTAAAGTGTTGAAATTGTTAGAGTGTTTTTGACACAAAAAAGTAAAACATTGTTGAAATCAATTAAGAGTTTTGTCTGTAATTCATATAGCAATATGCTGCAATAAAAGGTACAAATGAGAGAACAGTGACTGTAATTTAATTTAATGATTAAATAAATACTTTTTATTTACAAATTAAATCAATAATAATTTGGGGTTTACGTACATACACAATATAATTAAAAAAAATAATTAAAGAGATATAAAATATAGAAATAAAAAATTAATATTAGTCCATAAAAAAATATCTAAAAATTTTAAAGTTATCAATCATAATCATTCAAGAGATACAGTCAAGTGTTAGATTAATTATAAGCAACCTTAATTTTTAACTATAAACAAATACTAAACATACTTAATGGGTTTAAACTACTGTTAATATCAACATGCACTAATCTATTAATTGTATTTACAATAAATAAATAAATAAAATATAAAAATATTATTCAGATTCACCAAATAGTTTTTTTACATGATATTAAACTAAATACGAATTATTTTAATAATATAACTTTATCTTTGTCACAAAACTTTATTAAAAATTGTTATTACGATACATCTACCTTTCCTTATTTATATTCTTTAATTCAAATATAGTCAAATTCAATAAAATAATATTTTTATAATATAATGAATATATTAATAATAATTATTTTTCAAAAAATAGAGAAATAATTATAATAATAATGATAAAAATGATCATCATAATTATAATAAGTTAAAAAACTAAAAACACAATATATTCTTTATAAAAAAGATTATATTTTCAAAATAAAGAATTATTTTTATTTTTTTATCAAAATTTGTTTGATAAAAAATTCATTCAAAATTTTGAATTTTAGTAATTTTAAATCCATTTTTAAAAATTTTTATATCAATGTAATCAAACTTCAATTTTTTTAATAACAAATTAATTTTATGATTTGTTTTTGTTGATCTAATCGATCCTATTCGATTTTGAAAATATTGAAATCAAAATAAACTTCCACTAATAAACATAAATTTATTATATTGTATTTACTGTAATTAAATAAAAAAATGAGAAAAATTAAATAAATAAAAATATGAAGAAAATAAGATATTATTTAAATTCACCTAATCAAATATCTTTTTTGGAACATTAAAAAAAATATAGGATTCTTCTAACAATATCACTTTATCTTTGTTAGTCTTTTGATGTCCACATATTTTAATGTCTCGGTTTTCCAAATTTTTGTACACATCTACTGCTCTTTCTCTATTTTCCTATACACGTCTATACAAATAGGTAAAAAGATAAACCGTTAATTGGTTTATCTAACCTGTGTCAAAGAGTATTAATTACCATTTTTTAAGTTACAGGTTGGTTTGGTGAATATTGATAACTACTGTTTAAAGATATTTTTTTCATTGCTTATAAATTACTTATTTTAAAGATATTTTTGCATAATATTTAATTACAAATAGGTATGATAACGGGACGAATTCTCCAGTTTTTAAAGCGTTACTTATATCCGTACCGTTGTCAAAATTAAAAAAAACTGAAGTCTCCATTCCTGTTGTAATTGGATTTTGGATTCTTCCGTTTTCTTTCTTGATCTATATTATTTAAAAATAATAATTATATTTATAATAAATTAATTTTAATATTTTTATTTATTTTTTATATATAAATAAGTATTTATAATTTATAATTATTATTAATTAAATATATATTTAAATTTATTATACTTATATTAAAATATGTATATAAAAAATATTTAATTTTTTATACAAACATAAAATATTTATATTATTATTATTATAATATTGTATTCAAACATTTGATTAATATTTTTTTAAAGTTATCATTTAAAAATATGAAATAAATAATTTATAAAAAATATTTAATAAGCTAAATTTTATTTAATTATTTCAAAATAATAAAATTATAAATTATAAATTATAAATTCTTTTTAATAATTTAAAATATAATTATTTTATTAAGATAAAATTTGATAGATATATGATAAATAAGTATAATAAGATCCAAGAAATGATATAATGAAACCTAATAAAGATAAATTATAAATAAAGTAATATTAGTTAATACTAAGATTTATGTAAAATATTTATAAAATAACGAAGAAGAAGAAAAATTAATTTTATGTTTATCAAATTAGTTGAAAAGATTGAAAAAAATAAAATAATTAGAAAAATTAAAAAATGTGAAAAAGTAAAAAGTAAGAGAAAGAGAATAATGTAATGAACTGATTTATATAAAAAAATTAAAAAGTATGTAAAAGAAAAATAAATATGATAAAATATAAAAAGTAACCTTATATAATGAAAACGAATTTTTTTAAAAATATAATATTTTAAAATATAAACTTAAATAGAATTTATTTTTCGATAAAATTTTAGATTCTGGTAACATAATAGAATTTTGCTTTTCCGATCCAATTTTAGATTCTGATAACCTAATTATCTATCATAAAAACGTGGCAATAAGACCAGAACTTGAACTAACTAAACTTTTTCTTTCATTTTTTACTTATTTACGTAAAGATCCAATCTAGGGATGACTATCCAACCCAAAGATTCTGATTTTTAACTAAATATTTTTGCTTTATGCACAAGGAAAATTTTGAGAAGTGCAATGCTAATCATTATTGTTTCTTCAAGAGATATAAATCTAGTTATATCATTTTGTTATTTTATAATAATGATATGCTAATAGTAGGTTTAGATATGCATGAAATTAAAAACTTGAAGATATAATGTCAAAAAAATTTGACACGAAGGACTTAGGTCTAGGAAAGAAGATCACTAGTGAAAAAAAGGGCTTTTACGTCACCCAATTGTCGTCGCATGTAAAAATATTCGACGTAAATAAAACGCGGTTGCAATTTTGTAAATAAGAGACAAAACTTTTACGTCGCACACCCCAGGACGCGACGTAAAAAGCCTCTTTTACGTCGCGTCCTGGGGTGCGCGACGTAAAAAGTCCCTTTTATTTCCCTCCTGACCCACTCCTTGGTCTCGCGCAGCAAGGGTCTCTCAGGTCTCACCAGTTCTTAGGTCTCTCCTGCTTTCTTCCATTCCTCCATATCCTCACATTCATGTTAGGAACAAGACAATAATAAAGGAAAGAATGAAGGAGAGAAAAATAAACGACACAAGAATTTAACGTGGTTCGGCTAAAATATGTATGCCTACGTCCACGACTACACTAGGAAGTAATTTTTATTTCTGTGTGTATCTCAAACTTTACATAGGGTTGCTTATATAACAAAATAGAGAACCTCATCTCACAATCCTAATCGATGTGGGACTAAATCAAGCACCATAATACTAACAATTCTCCCACTTGGAGTTTGATTTACGTTACCACCTAGTGTAGTGCCTTCATCATCAATTTGCTCGAAGGCCAGTTGAGGCAATGCAAAGCCTCAACTTAGTTGTTGTAACAGTCTTGGTCAACATATCAGTGAGATTCTCTGCACCTGGAATCTTCAACAAACTCAAGTCTCCATCATTTATCGGGTTTCGATAAAATGATACTTCAATTCAATGTGCTTACATCTGGAATGAAGGATTGAATTTTTAGCAAGACAAATAGCACTTTGATCTGTCACTAAACAACGGAGAACCATCTTGTTCTCTTCCTAATTCTTTTAGAAGGTTCTTCAACCATATCATCTCCTTCAGCTGCTTCGAGATAGCTACATACTCGCTTCAGTGGTTGAGAGAGAGACCCTTCCTTGAAGTTTAGACTTCCAACCGATAGCTGTACCACCCAATGTAAAAATATAACTCTGTTGTGCTCTTTCTACCGTCAAGATCACCTCCCAAGTCTGCATCAGAAAACCCCTGTAAAATGAGATTACTTCTCTTGAAAGACAAATGCATCTTTGAAGTGCCTTTCAAATATCTGAATATCCACTTCACTCCTTCCCAATGCTCCTTTCCGGGATTTGATAGAAATCTGCTCACAACTCCCACTGCATGTGCTATGTCTGGTCTGGTGCAAACCATAGCATACATCAAGCTTCCTACTCTGAGATGCATATGGCATTTTAGACATGTGACTTTCTTCTTCTTCGTTTGAGAAGATTGCCTCTTTGAAAACTTTAAGTGAGTTCCCAAAGGTGTATTCCTAGTTTTAGCATTCCCAACATTGAATCTGCTAAGCAATTTTTCTATATATTTTTCTTGAGATAAGTTCAAAATACCTTTATCTCTATCTCGGGAGATTCTCATACCAAGAATTTGCTTGGCTGGACCAAGATCCTTCATTTCAAAGCTCTCTGACAATTGTTTCTTCAACTTGTCAATTTCTGCCATATTAGCTCCAACAATCAACATGTCGTCAACATATAAGGCAAGAATGATATAGCTATCAACATATTTCTTCACATAACAACAGTGATCTTCTTCACATCTGCGAAATCCCGAGTTTCTCATAAACTCATTAAACTTCTTGTACCATTGTCTCGGCGCTTGTTTTAATCCGTACAAACTTTTATGAAGCTTGCATACAAGATTTTCTCCGCCTTGTACTTCAAAACCTTTTGGCTGTGTCATAAAAATTTCCTCTTCAAGATCCCCATGTAAGAATGCAGCTTTGACATCTAACTGCTCCAAATGAAGATTTTCTCGCAGCTACTATACTCAAGATAACTCGATGGTAGTCATCTTGACAACAGGAGAGAAAATTTCTGTGAAGTCAATTCCTTGTCTTTGTTGGAACCCTTTCACTACGAGTCTAGCCTTATATCTTTTGCCGCCATCCGGTTCTTCTTTCAACCTATAGACCCATCTCGTTTTGCAAAACTTTCTTTCCTTCCGGTAGCTTGGTTAAAGACCATGTTTTATTCTTCTGAAGGGACTTTATCTCATCTTCCATTGCTAGCTCCCACTTAATAGATTCATCTCCCTGCATAGCCTCAGCGAAATGCTCTGGCTCACCAAGTATCGATCCAACAACAAATAATGCAATGAAGGGGAATACCTTTGTGGTGCTACAATTGTTCTCGCTAGATCTTCTAACCAAGATTTCGGGAGTTGTCGACTCTACTATTTGTTCAGGTTCTGTCTCGAGCTCCGACATAGGCTCTACTTGTATATTCTCGCCTTCGGTTGACTACATCACTTTCTGAAATTTCTTCTAATGATACTTGCTCTAGTTGTTTATTTACATTTGCAGATTCTCGCAATCTCGTCTCTATAGAACATGTTTTCATTAAAAGTAACATTTCTACTTCTGATAATTTTCTTGTTTTGGTCATCCCAAAACCTGTAGCCAAACATGTCAGATCCATAACCAATGAAATAACAACGTTTTGCCTTAGGGTCCAATTTATCTCTACTATTAGAGTCTAACATAACATATGAAGCACAACCAAAAACTTTCGGATGTGAAAGATTTACCTCTTTTCCAGACCATACTTCTTCGGGTAACTTATAGTCTAAAGGAACTGATGGTCCTCTCGTTTATGAGATAGGCTGCTGTGTTTATTGCATCCGCCCAAAATACCTTGGGTAATCCTGACTGGATTCTCATACATCTTGCTCTCTCATTCAAGGTTCTGTTCATTCTTTCTGCCACACCGTTTTGTTCCGGTGTTCCTGAACTGTCTTGATCATTCCGATCCCATTCTCTCGAACAAAACTCCTTGAATTGACTACTCGTCATATTCTCCACCATTATCAGACTTCAAACATTTGACCTTTAAACCTGTTTGAGTCTCAACCTCCTTTTTCCACCTTTTAAACACAGAAAACACATCGATTTATTTTTAAGAAAATAAACCCATACCTTTCTTGTAGAGTCATCAATGAAGGTTACATAATATTGTGAACCTCCAAGGGATTTCACTGAAGCCGGCCCCCAAACATCTCGTATGCACTAGTTCTAGTCTTTCAACTTTAGACGACTTACTTGTTTTTGAGAAGCTAACCTTTTTACGCTTTCCAAAGATACAATGTTCGCAAGGTCCAACGTCAACATGCTTCACGTTAGGTATTTTACCTTTTGATATCATGAGCTTCATTCCTTTCTCACTCATATGCCCAAGCCTCTGATGCCATAAGGAGGAATTGTTGCCAACTTCTGCAACTGATATCATATCCTCATCTGCAATCATGTAGAGAGATCCTTGCTTCTTTCCACGAGCAACAACAAGATTACCTTTTTATTACCTTCCAATGTCCATCTCCAAAAGTGGTGTAATGTCCCTCATCATCCAACTGCCCTATAGATATTAAGTTTCTCTTTAAGGTTGGAATATGTCTGACATTATTCAAAGTCCACACGTTTCCATTAGAGGTTCTGATGTTAATATCACCTCTTCCTATGATATCAAGAGATTTTCCATCTGCAAGGTAGACCTTCCCAAACTTTCCAGAAACATAGTTAGATAATAGTTCTAAGGAAGGTGTAGTATGAAATGACGCACCTGAGTCCATAATCCATGAGTCAATAGAATTATCTAAACTACATAACAGTGCATCTTCAACTTCATCAGTTGCTGCATTTGCTGATTGATCATCATCTTGCTTCTTGTTGTTGTTGTTGTCCTTCTTTGGAGCCCTACACTGATTTGAAAAGTGGCCCTTTTTCACGACAAAGTGATATCATTCCGGACTTTTGCTTGTGATCTCCCTCTGGATTTTGATCTGCCTCGGCCTTGATTACGACCTTTCTGGCGACTTCTTCCTCTAGTTTCAGTACTCAATGCTGAACCTGAATTAGAACTGAAAGATTCTACTGAATTTTTTCTGCGAACATCTTCGCTTAAGATCAAGTCACGGATGTTATCAAGCTTCAACTTGTTATTGCTTGCAGAATTACTTACTGCAGTAACAGTTGCACCCCAACTTTCCGGTAGAGATGATAATAAAATTAATGCTTTCACCTCATCATCAAATATTATCTGCACTGATGTCAACTGCGCAATAATTGCATTAAATTCACTAATATGATTAGTAACCGAGTTACCTTCACCCATTTTGAGGTTGACTAGCCTGCGAATCAAATGCACTTTATTGGCTGCAGAGGGCTTCTCATACATATTTGACAACGCCTGCATCAAATCTACGGTTGTCTTCTCGTTCATGATGTTGAACGCAACATTCTTGGCTAATGTCAGCCGGATCACACCAAGCGTCTGCCGATCTAACAACTCCCATTCTGACTGCTCCATGTCGGTTGGCTTCTGCCCTGTCAAGGGTAGATACAACTTCTTCTGATACAGATAATCTTCCATCTGCATCTTCCAGAACCCGAAGTCACTGCCATCGAACTTCTCGATCCTCACCTTTCCTTCTTCCAATGCCATTGCTCTCACTGCTTCGAAGAAAGCTCCCACTGCTTCTCTAAGCCGAGATTCCCAAGAAAAAAAGACCAAATCTTTTCTGATGTGGAAGATCAGACAAAGCTGCAACCACAGAGCATACTAAGAAAATTGGCTCTTGATACCAATTGTTAGGAACAAGACAATAATAAAGGAAAGAATGAAGGAGAGAAAAATAAACGACACAAGAATTTTAACGTGGTTCGGCTAAAATATGTATGCCTACGTCCACGACTACACTAGGAAGTAATTTTTATTTCTGTGTGTATCTCAAACTTTACATAGGGTTGCTTATATAACAAAATAGAGAACCTCATCTCACAATCCTAATCGATGTGGGACTAAATCAAGCACCATAATACTAACAATTCAAACCCTAATTCCAACCATTTGCATCTTCCATTCACACGCACTTTTATTTTGTTAATGTTAATTTGATTTCGATAAATTTCACGTGGCAGGGAATACTCACAACAATGATTATGCCACAGTCCCATTTCTCGCCGAGGTTTTCAAGGTAAATTAATAAACACTTCATGCGTCAATTTTATTTGATAGGAACCGAGTTTTGATGCTGCATAATAGCGGTTGCTTATTTCATCTTTGCTAAACACTCAGCTTGCGGTGTCAAGTTTGTTATTATGGAGGGAATGCCAAAAGTCACCTCTGCCAAAGATGAGACGGAGTGGAAAATGGTTGCCCTGTTCCCGATTCCCTCAGTTATATATCTCATCCACAATAATGTGCAGTTTGCTACACTCACTTATGTGGATACTTCCACCTATCAGATAATGGGAAATTTGAAGATTGTTACGACATGGGTACTATTCAGGTGCCTTCTCTTTTCACAGTTCAGATTTCAGATCAGTGTTGTTGTTTTCTCAGTTAATGACTTTCTTTTATTTCTTTGTAGGATGTTCTTAGGTAGGAGGCTTTCTAACTTGCAGTGGATGGCTATTGTGTTATTGGCTGTCGGGACAACCACTAGTTAGGTGCCAGAAAATTGTGTCTCACAAATTTGGTTTTGTGCCTTTTAAATTTTGTTTATAAGAAGTTATCTACTGTGCTTTATGCATTGTTTGATATGGATAATGAACTTAAAATCAGTGTTGAGGAGTTAGATGAATATCTAGTTCCGACGTTTGTTAGGGTTGTGTAGCTGTGATGCAATAGGTCTGGATAAGTTTTATTTGTCATTTTCTTATGCGTCACTCTCATCTCCTAAGGTCATTTTCATATAGAAAAATGATTCCTTTGTTGTTTCCTTTTGGAAGATGCCTCACTTGCACTACTTCTACTATATCCTTTCCTTAGAATAATATATATTGAATAATATATGACTTTTTTCACTTAGAATCGTGTATCGAAACTAATGTTCTAAGTGGAAAACCTAGAACAAAGACTTTACAGTTCATTTATCCTAAGGTTAGAAACTTATTTATATAAGTGAATACCATAATTATTGTTTGTATTTAAATTTTAAAAATAACATTATGTTTTTTTGCATCATTTCAATGTAGTAAGCAAACAGACTCGTTTGAATGTGGTTACTATGTTATGTATTGGATGAGAGCCATAGTTTGTGCGGGTATAATTGATTCTTGGACGGAGGTAATTGTTTTTAACATTAGTTAATTTTATTTAACTTTATTCATGTTGCATATTTACAAGAGTCAAATTAATGTTTCAGGTATTTCAAGATCCATCTTCATTACCGAATATGATATTACACAAATTAGAGAACAATGGACAAAATTTTTTGTTCAACAATTCTAGTACATAATTTTTTAAGTTCTTGTTCATATTATATTGTGTGTATTATGTAGTTTAGGTAGCTTAGTTTGTATTAACTTTTAGTTTGTAATAGATTTTTTAGTTTGTATGTTTGTATTATATTGTTTTATTATGTAGTTTGAATTATATAATATTATATTTTTAATTTACTAGCTAAAGAAAATTGAACCTCCGGACTCGTCTAGTTGTAATATATATTTGCAGGTTTTAGTTGTAAAACAGAATCAACCCAATTTAAAAAAAAATAGCAAATTTACGTCGCATATTGGTATATGTGACGTAAATTTACGTTGCGTATACCAATATGCGACGTAAATTTTCTATTTTTTTTTAATTTCCGAAAGTTTTTATGTCTGTTTAGTGGTATATGCAACACAAAATTACGTCGGGTCTTGATAACTGACGTAAATTTACGTCGGGCTAAAGGGTCCGACGTAAATTTACGTCTCCCATTTTAACGTCAGTCTTAAATACGACGTAAAAAGCCCTAAATACCTTACGTAAAAGCCCCTTTTTGCACTAGTGGATCCTTGGAATGAAAATCACAAGAGATAAGCAAAAAGGAATTTTCAGGTTATCTCAAGCAGAGTACACCGTGTGTTTGTATAGATTTAACATGGAAAATACCAAGCTGGTTAGCACACCTTTAGCTAGTCATTTTTGTTTATCCAAGGATCAATCACCTTAGACAGATGAAGAAAGAGAATTCATGTCTAAAGTTCCATATGCTTTAGCTATTGGAAGTTTGATGTACGCAATGGTCTATACAAGGCTAGACATTGGCCATGCAATGAGGGGTTGTTAGCATATTTATGTCAAATTCAAGTAAAGCTCATTGGGAAGTAGTTAAATGGATTTTGAGGTATCTATGATGCACACCAGAGAAGAGTTTGGACTTTAGTAAAGGAGAATTAAAAGTACAAGGTTACATAAATGTAGACTGGTTACATTTTCACAGGTGGTAATACAGATGTAAGTTGGATGTCATAGCTACAAAAGATTAGTTGATACCATTTGTTAGGGTCTTTCGAGGGGGATTTACCGGGGAGAAACAACACCAATGAGGTATGAGCCCAATCCACATAAGGGATTGACACCACTCTTAATTCAAAACCTTAAGACATTAGGTTATGGGTCATACATCCTTATATGTTTCTCAACTTTTTCATTCTTACTTAATGTGAGACTTAACTCACACTTGAATTATCCAACAAGGTTGAGTATGTTACAATAATAAAAGCTAGTAAATAATTCATATGGCTTCAAGATTTGTTAACAGAGTTAGGATTTATCTAGAATAGTGTTTTGTATAGTGATAGTCAGAGTGCGATATATCTAACAAAGAATTCAACATTTCATTCCAAAATAAAACACATTAGCCTTCGTTATCACTTCATCATATCTTTGCCTGAGGATGAGGTGCTAACATTGAGAAAAATTGTTAGAATCAGTCTTCTGGTAGAATATTTATTGTTACAATTAGTCAACAAATAGTTTAGGAGGAGAAGTGTACTTTTTTGGAGAGAAAGATAAAAGTCAATAAGATTTTAGAATGCTTAATTATAGAACTTAAATTTGAGGTTTACATATATTATATTTTATATAAATACCTTTGCATAAAACTTTATTTTGTAATTTCAAAAGGAAAACAAAAGAGAGGTAAGAGAGAAGAAAAGAAAAATACTATTTTATTTTTCTAGGTTTATTTGAGTTGTGAGTTGAGTGTTTTTGTAAACACTTGTTTTATAATTTTCTATTTTAAATAAAAGATTTGCAGTTGTTAAGTGGTAAAAATTTGATATAATTATGCCTTAAATTGTTATAAAACCATTTAACTTATGTTAATTCTAATATATTTTTCTCCCAATATAGGATGAATTCGAGAATACCTTGATACACGAGTAAGAAGCATAATTGTCAGCATAATTAGAGAAAAATTGAAAGAAGGAAGAACGCTTAAGCGAATGAATGATGTGAGGCCCGACCCAAATTCTCTTATAAAAAGATAAGATGTGTTTTGAGAAAGAAAACAGTCTTGGAGAAGAGGAGACACGACTAGTGTTAGAGTTTCGTTTAATCTTAATCAATTCTTCACTTCTTCATCAATTAGAGTATTGTAATGGCCAACATGAGTGACTAACTTCATTCTCTTAGGATTCGGTGTGCTTCCTTTGAACTCTTTTGTATCATGGTGATATTTTGAGATATAAATCTATGTTTTGATGTTGTTATTCTTATCCTTTATGCTTTGAAATGATTTATTCTTGATGTTTGGGGTATGATTGGAAAATATATCCTGAACCCTAGATCACGGTAAGAATATTTGTTACGTTAATTGTCAGGAATGGAATGAATGTATCAATTGCTTAACACCCTAACCCTAATGCTGGAAAATCTGTTAATTGTGTGAGGAATCAACATTTATTAGGTTTTCTTATGAATTTCATGTGTGAGGAATCAACATGGATGATTTGAGTAGGTGACATCAACATTGTTAGGTTAATTGACGTTCTTAATTGACATAGCCATTACAAAAGTGGGATAAGGAAGGAAGTCAATCCTAATTACCTTTAATTCATATTTTCTCAACAATTTACAGTTCTTTGTCATTTAATTTCAATTCAACTCTTATTTGCGAAATCCAATCTGTTTAATATACTTAGTAAGCATAATTGGGAATTTCCATTGAAATTGTTCCTTGTGGGATCGACTTTTATTTAATCGAAATACTATACTGCGATTGATAATTTTGGTACTCTTGCCAATAATTCAACAAGTATTTTTGGCACCGTTGTCTGGAAACTGTGTTCTTTGAGAATTCTTTGTTTAACTTATTGAGTATTTTATTTTTATTTTTATTTTTATTTATGTTTTCGTTTTATTTTTCAGTTTTAGTTTTTTTAATTATTGTCTTATGCTAATCTTTGCTTGAGTTACTCTTTTGATTTATGCGTTTAAGAGGACAAGTATCTTCAGAGCAGTTAGAATTTAATCCAGAGATTGAAAAAATAGCTCGGAGGAACCGGGGTAGAAGAAGAAGGGAAACTCAAGAACAAACCACAAGCCACAAGGTTACATAGATGTAGACTGGTTACATTTTCACTGGTGGTACTACAGATGTTAGTTGGATGTCATAGCTACAAAAGATTAGTTGATACCACTTGTTGGGGTCTTTCGAGGGGGATTTACTGGGGAGAGACAACACCAATGAGGTATGAGCCCAACCCATATAAGGGATTGACACTATTCTCAATTCAAAACCTTAAGACATTAGGTTATGGATCATACATCCTTATATGTTTCTCAACTTTTTCATTCTTACTTAATGTGAGACTTAACTCACACTTGAATTATCCAACAAGGTTGAGTATGTTACAATAATAGAAGCTAGTAAAGAATTCATATGGCTTCAATGATTGTTAACAGAGTTGGGATTTATCCAAAACAGTGTTTTGTATAGTGATAGTCAGAGTGCGATATATCTAACAAAGAATTCAACATTTCATTCCAAAATAAAACACATTAGCCTTCGTTATCATTTCATCATATCTTTGCCTAAGGATGAGGTGCTAACATTGAGAAAAATTCTAGGAAGTAAGAATCCAACAAATATGTCGATAAAGGTAGTAACCATTAACAAATTGAAGTTGTGTTCAACTTCAATTGGTCTACTAGAATAACATACAAGAGAATGTTGCTGCATTGATCGAGTTGTGAAGACAAATTGAAATTAATCTTCAAGTAGAATATTTATTGTTAGAATTAGTCAACAAATAATTTAGGAGGAGAAGCGTACTTTTTTGGAGAGAAAGATAAAAGTCAATAAGATTTTAGAATGCTTAATTATAGAACTTAAATGTGAGGTTTACATATATTATATTTTATATAAATACCTTTGCATAAAACTTTATTTTGTAATTTCAAAAGGAAAACAAAAGAGAGGTAAGAGAGAGAAGAAAAGAAAAATACTATTTTATTTTTCTAGGTTTATTTGAGTTGTGAGTTGAGTGCTTTTGTAAACACTTGTTTTATAATTTTCTATTTTAAATAAAAGATTTGCAGCAACCTGGAGACATAGGCATAATTGACTGAATTTCGTTATTAATTTTGTCTCGTGATTATTCTGCATTTATATTATTTTTATAAACTTGATTATAAGAAATCACTATAAGAAAATCATTAATTATCGACAGATATC